TCTGAAAAATTCCACGGTCATTATTGTTCAACAAAACCTCGGACTTCCCGGATCCAAAAATCTCAACACTTGGGCTCCTAATCCCTCTCCCATGCAGACCCTATCACTCACCCAAGCAAACGCTTGATTTGGCAGCTTGTGGGTCTGCTCTTGGCGAAGAATGCGGACGAGCGACCTACAGCAGAAGAGGACTCCTTCCCCTGTTGGGGTGTAGGATTTCGATTTTTGGGAAAGGGTGGTGGGTTCAGGGTCGGGTTGGATTCAGGGTTGAGGGTCTGAGGCTTCATCTAGATTTCGGGTTTGCCTAGTGGTGTAACCGATTCTCCATCCGCTTACACTTAGTAGGATGCGCGGATGGATCTCTCTTTACAAGAATCCAAAGAGTCCATTTTAGGATTTGCTTGCTCAATTCACAGAGTCTTCAGGGTGGTGATAACAGGCATAATGCAGTTGTGACGCTAGGGAAGTGCAGCTGTAAAGAGACAGGGATGACAGTCTACTGTCTGTGAAGGAAAAATAGGCATGCGTCGTCATACCATACCTAAGCATGGCAATTCCTAGTGTTTTCTGCGAGGGGGCTTCTAGCTTTCAAAGCTGTCTGAGCTACTGAGTTTCCAGCTTTGATCGTGCTTTGAAACAGGTATGGTGGCAATGTTTCTTGTTTTGAACCTGGACGTAGTATCGTGGGTATTGGACAGCTGTTGGCATCCTTTCCCCTTCCAGGATAGGCTTTCGTAAGGTTGGTTCAAAGCGAGCTTCTTCACAATTTTCACAAGAGGGTATCATGGGGCATTTTGGGATGATATTTAGGCTCGGGCTTGAATCGGTTCATGACGATGGGCTGCGACGACAGAATGTGGGATAGAGGGAGAATCCTGGAGACTTGGCAGCGGAGAGGCCGTAGAGTGCCTATCACCATTGACGATTTCTTTTCTGGACTGGGCGATCTGGAGAGAAAACTAGGCATCATGTGAGCTCACCATTACCGGTAGGGATTGGCAACTGCGCTGCTTGCTCAAACCGACTTGTAGTGAGCAGTTTCTAGCCGCCCCAAGGTTCCCTACGGTACCAGTCACAGTTGCTTCACTTCCGAGAGACCCGCTGCGTGTCTCCGAGCCTCACAGCTTAAATCAAGCCCTGCCAACCCAAACTGATTTCTGACGGTTTGTAGTCTCCTGAACGCGTGTGTATGGACTGGAAGGCTTTGGCACTGCCAGTGTTGCAGCCATACTGCAGGCACTGGGTGCTATCGGGCGAGAATCGCAGAAAAGCTTCACTTTCTGGGAGCGGTTGCAGGTTCAAACTCTGACATCCAGCTTTCTGTATAGATGCTGAGATGCTTCGTTGAGGATGCTCTTTGAATTCTAGTGTAAATTTGGAGCATCTGAGTCAAGACTCAGACAATGTTGCGCACACACCATGTTTTCAGTACGCATGCTGTTGGCATCACTGCATGAACCTGCTACTGCTGCTCTTCTCCTCGCTCATCATCCGCTACATCTCGTCTTCATTGCCTATGTGAAAAGTTGAGGCATCTAAGCACCTGTGGACCCAGCCACAAGGGGTGGAGCCGTGCCAAGGATTTTTTCGGTTGCCCCAAAGGCTCCAATTGGCAATCCGAAACATGAGCCCTGGGCCTGACATCAATGCACAAGTCTTGAAGCCGTGTAAACTACACCAACTCACCCAAGCCTAGAGACATAACCCCTATATTTCCCTAGTATAGTAATCTCCGTCTTCTTCTCTATTATCCCCATATAACCCCAATACAATGTACAAACCATCCGTTCCTATTGATCTGAAGCTGCTGCAGTGACGACCCGTCGGACCTCCCTGAACGACCATTTGCGCAAACGGCGCCGGTTTGGTCCTCAGCACCCGCAAAACCCATGAAGCCCAGGGCTTTAGAGTTGTTGATGGAGTAGAAGCATCAGTCGGTGATTGATTGGGGCTTGAGGGTTTGATAAGGTCTGCATTTGAGATGTGGGGAGGTTCGGAGGGTTTAGGTATCAGCTTCAGATTGTCTGGCCCTTACATTTTACGTTCTGAGATTTGTTGCCCGTCCATATTATGGAGATCGAGAAGGTTCCAGTGTTCTTCTCCAGCTTCACTTGGCAACCAATCTGGATCTGGTTGTGATCTTGAGACATTTTTCTGCTGCGGTCACGGCGAGCACTCTCATTACTAGGTTACCTTTCCTGTCTCTTAACTCTTTCTACCATCGCTCATCCCATTGTTGTAAATGCGGGCGGCTCCTTAGTTAGGGTTTCTGCCCCCAGAAGGGTGAAGCCCCATATGATAAGATATTCTGGAGAAGAGGCTCGTCACTTTGGGATCCTGCCAGCAGTTCAGAGGAATCTTCCAGAAATGATGCCGACAGGCCTCCATGAAAGTTATCGAGGAAGACTCCAGCCCACCGCCTCCACCACCAGAGGCGGGTGGAGGAAGACATATGGCTTAGGGCTTTTGCGATAGGGACTTGGGGCTTTCAGGGCTTTGAGGCTTGGCCTCCTTTCAAGACGTGCTTTGCAAGAGTCCCCAACTTTTAGAAGCTTGCATTGCTCTTTCTGGGCCTGGAGATAAGGATCCTATTTGTCAGCACTGGAGTGAGCCTGACATAGTCCCGTCTCAGGCGTGTATAGGATCAGTGTCGTATTGGATCTTGAAACGCTCGTAGTGAACCAGGACCTTTGAGGCTAAGAGAGCAACAAATAAAGACCAGAGCTGAAAGAAGCAGGTTCCCGAGCATGTAAATGTTAAACCTCGCTTGCCATGGGCACGTCCATCCAGCTATGCTTGCTTCAAACCATTCGACCAGAGAATTTTTCGTGTCAACATCACGTACTCAACGTTGTATCAACGCTGGTTGCTGACTTTGTGGCAGCTCTTTCAGGAGGTGGTGTCAGGGGGGCCACGACCACCACCGTCGCCGTGGCAGTCGCAGGCGATGCTCTACGTGGCTATTCATGTCTCCTCAGCAGAGCCTTGAGCAACATGCACCAGTATATTTTTATGACAAGCCCGGAACCCCAAAAAGGACCAACCTCTACACTGCACCCATGAATGTTGGAACTCGAAAACTGAGCACCAAGCCCAAAACTCATGCCCTGCTGTGCGCAGGGGTCCTCAGTGTCCTCCTCCATAACCGGCACCAGGTGCTCGGACCTGATGTGCCGAAGCGGTTGTACAGGGCTTGGCCTGGGCATTTTGCATTCTTAGGCTGGCATGTACACTTCTGTCAGATTGTTGATGGGCTTGCAATCTGTAAGCTGTAAACCCTTCCCGGATTGAAGTCCGCGCATTCTTTGGTTGGGATGGGATGGACGCCGGTCACCGAACTCAGAAACCTTGGCTCCTGAGCTCTGGACGCACAGACATTAAGTCCTCAACTCAGAGCCCTCAGCCACAAACCTCAAAGCCTCGATCTAAAAGCCCAAACTCCTGACCTATGTGCAACCGAGTTTCTTGAAAGGCCTGAAGTATTGAGGCATCCTCATGAAGTCCACAGGGCACGCGCCATCAGTTTTCAACAGCTGAAGCTCTGCGCGCTTCAGCGATTGCACCTCAGGGCGGCCAAAAAATCAATGTCAAGCCGCAAGGCTTGGTATGCGAAGTTGTGCCACATGAATGACCCACATCTGTGTGGCAGGCACGTCGAGCTAGGCGCAAAGCCGCTGCCGCCAAAGGCATCGAATCTCAAGCACATCAGTATCTCCATCTAGATAAACCGTACGTAGAGGTGATGTCAGGGCTATCTGCAGGATGTGGACATTGTTTAGCACTCTACTTCGGTAATCTGCCCTCGACTCAAGATACCTGAGCTCCAACCGCTTGAGCTCCTCCACCCTGAATACTGGGGTGAGATGTATAATGTCAGTTCTTGTGGGACGCTTGGCTTCAAACCCCACGAATTTAAAGCCCAATCTAAAGCCTGTGCCCTCAGCCTCTCTCTCTCTCGCTCCCTCCTCCTCCCTCCCTCCCCTCCAAATTCGTGCTCTTTTTACTAGATGAATGCATGGGTGACAAAGATGGGGTACCAAGTTTTGCAGTCCTGGTGTTGGGGATCTGGGCACTGCAACCTTCGCTGCAGCGCCTCGTGGTCACCGGGCAGCCACCGCCGCCGCCACCAGGCAATCTGAGTGCTCTCGCGGGACTGACTGTGTGGTGACTGTGGGATTTGGGTCGTCGGGACGTTAGAGTGAGTGTAGGGTTCAGGCCTCGGACTGCGAGCTTCAGGCGTAGGATTTTGGATTTGGATTGGGGCTTGGGACGTGTGCTTTGCGTTGCAGCCTTCGCTGTGGCATGACTGTAATGTCTCGCCGTTTAACCATGGGGAAGCTGCAGCTGCAGATTGTCGGGATTTGGGAACCAGTGATAGGTGTCGCGTCGGTTTTGGAAAACACGTCACAGAGCAATTTGCCTGGTTATCCTCAACAGCAGCTTGGACAAAGAGCCTAGCACAACTTCGGTGGAGTTCTGCTTGGCGCCCCGCTGGATTCACACATTGACTTTGAACCAGAACTAGGCTGTTGCAGGCCAGGCTGGATGTTGGTCGAGAAGAAGTGCCAAGACCTTAAAGCACTCGAAAAAAACAAAAAAAAAAACCGAGCTGGTCGAAAGAGGCAAGTTGAGACGCCACTGCATCCTTATCTTCGTCCTTTCCTCGCTACAGGCTGTCTCACGCTTCTCCCCACACAATCGATAGCTAACGTTGTCTCTACGTCTTGTTTTCAGAGCTTTTTGTCAACAACACTTTTAGAAACGCTATGGCAGCGAGTCGTGGGCGAAAGTTAGGAAACGCTTCGCACACGATCCATAGCTAACATAGGTTTTACGTTTGTTCAGAGAATTTCGCCGAAGCAGCTGTTCGAATGAACATCTAAAACATTGCTTTTGAAACGCGATCGCGGCAAGCTATGCGAAAAAAACTAAGAAATGCGCGCGACAGATCATAGGGGCCGTCGGTATCATTTTGAAGCTGGCAAGTCCTTTGCAAAGAGGCCCTGGCGGCGCCACAGCATCCAGTTGGCGACCCCGGACGCAAGCGCTTGCGACCGCTTCGGGAGCTGCCCGGGCCCCAACAGGCCATGTACCAGTCTCCGAAGAAAGGGTTTATGTACGCTGAGGGAGGTTACAGGGCTTGGTTATACAGTTATACATTGGAAGGCTTGCCAAGGCCTGTATTCACAGCCCAGAAACAAGTTATGCGCAGGTCATAGTTTGTATGGATAGTAGATGCGGGACCGGTGCCCTCTGGAATGATCACAAACAAAGCTTCGCTGGCACTTCTATAGGTCTTCCACGGGCCGCGGTATTCTAATCACTGAGACTTTGCTTTCGTGTTGAAGCTTCCGTGGGTCCCAGGCTGCAGAATATGCTTTTCCATTATCGGTGCTGAAAGGGTATGTGTGCTCCGGGAGCATACGGATCTCCTGGAAGGGATCACCGTGTGGCATGCGCTTGTATTGCCTTCAACTGAGGTGGGAGCGCGCGGTGCTCGCCATGCACCAAGTAACCGAAAGGAGTCACGTCTGAAGGGAAGGTCAAGGCTCAAACTGGCCTTTGTGGTTGTCCAAGCTGTTGCTTTGCGGTTGCGACATCCCACTATGGATGTCCTGAATTAGGTTTGTTGCAGCAAAGGGAGGCATAGGCATCAAACAAAGCATGATAAGGCATCAACAAATAATTTGACGAGCATCAAGAATAATTTGACAAGCATCAGAAGGATTACAGGCACGAGTGTCTTGAGGCAGATGCTTGAAGAAGTTTTCTGTCCGCCTCTTGTTGGCCTATTGTCCTTCTTTTTCTGGTGGTTTTAATCAAGCTAGGCCAAGCTCTGGGGTGCCGCCAGACGGCCTTCCTTTGAGGTCAGAGCGTGGAGATCAGCGATGAAGTGCAGGTGGGCAGAGAGAGGTGGTGAGAGACAGAGACAGAGAGAGAGAGAGAGAGAGAGTGAGAGGATGAGGGAGATGGATCGAGCGAGTGAGCGAGAGCGCAAAGGTACGCCGAACACACACACACCTGGCATTGACACCCGCATGCTCGGAAGCAATCACCCTCGTTGGCAGCGCAGACTTTGCTGCAGGTTGTCCTGGCCCGCGCTCGACAGACGCTGCTGCGCCGACCACGAGCCAAGGGCAATTGGGTCCAGGCCCCTCAAGCTCAGCTTCTTAATGCGGATTCGAGCCCCTCTGGAAACCCCATCAGTGGGACGTGTAGCCCCGACTGCAAGGGCTTAATTGGTTCATGAGGTTGGCAGGACGTGACGGACTAGATGATGGCTTTCTGCAGGGAGTACTTGATCTGAACCCTCCCCCGGAATCACCAAACAGTGCAAAGAGCTTCAGAACCAAGATGCTGCAGCCATGACCCCACAGCCTTGACTGGATTTACAATACAGCCAAATCGCACAGCACGTGCGTAGATACGCTGTGGATGCGGATGTTCCATCTTGAGCCTGTGTGCAAGGCCTTTGCTCGGCACGACACGACAGGGCTTGGTGAACTCAGCGACGCGCCCAGGATTTCAGCTTTTTGACAGGTGGGGCAGTTGTCATCGTTTGGGGGTTTTCTCACTGTGCTCATGGTTTTATATGGATTCCAATGATGCCAATGCTTTTTACATCTTTTTACCATGTAGTGAGGGCAAGGACAAGGCTAGAAGCCTGCCGGGCTCCCGCATTAGGATTCCGGGTTCCTTACAGTATATCCAGTAGCAACGGAACGGTATCCTGTCCCAGGTTCTGCAGTGGATCCATATTTTGGGAGTTATTCGCACTTTTGAATGGTACAGCCCTCACAAGGTGTACGTAGGGTGGAGCGCAGCGAGGCCCCGAGCAGTTTGCCACCTTCCTCCAGTCCCTGTCAGTGGGGCTGAGCTTGCGTGAGGCCACTGAGACAAGTTGCACAAATTTGCGCTGACAGTAGTAAGTTTGTATGGGCTACAAGAGACTGCATGATGGCTTAGCCGGCAACAGCAGCGTTTTCTTTAAAGCATGGGGCCCTAAAATACCTTATGCACATTTTTCGCTTTGTCTGGTATCCAGCGCGTTGAAATCACCATGTCAGAGCCACTGGTAGATTTGACTGCAGATTCGTTGGGCCAGGCCTAACATGGCTTCTAGGATTAGGTGTTCAGGGCGGCTTTCCTTTCTCAGGCACAAGTTCGAGTTTCCAAACAACTGCGAGGCTTATGGCTGCAAGAACCCTTATTCTTGGGAAGATACTGTGGGTTTTGAAAAGGAAAGTGGCTGCATCATTCCAGGTATAGAGTTCGTGCTGTATGTTGGGGGGAATTAGTTTGGACTTTGGTATTCTTCGCATTTGGCATTCAGGCCAAGGTGTAATCTGTGCTCTGAACACGAGCAGAGCTCCTCATCCCGTTTGGAGCACCTTGGAGTCCAAACTTGACAGAGTGGACCGAACCTTGTTCTATTTCTCACCAGGCGAGATATGTTTTCGTGGGTCTCGAGTCAGGGTAGAGTGTCTGTCCTTCCAAAATCGAGAGCCCGATGTGCTTTGCTCCACATCCTGCAGCATGACATCAAAGTTAGCTGGCTGACCTGACTGCAACGCTACTCATGGCAACATGCGGTATCAATGATGATATAGCTAATCAAAGTATGGACAGTGCATTTAGACTCAAGTTTGGTATAGATCCTTAAAGGCTTTTTTTGCAGGTTCAAGATTTCAAGAGCGCACCAGACAACAACCTACCAGGTTTGACATATTGGCGTAGGTGTCTGTTGGAAGCCGTTCATGGCCACGCATCACTGGGTTGACGCTCCGGTCATTGACCTCGAAGACGATGACCTGCTCTCCGTTGGCAAGTCGCCAGTTGCCAACAGTTGGAAGGTTCCTCTCCAAGCGTTTCATTGCCCGGCCATCGACCTCACACAACAAGAGGCACTTCTGGAACCGCCTAAGGCAGCGCACCCCTCCCAGAAGGCCAGGCGTCGGTTCCTGGTGCGTATCAGGCAGGCTACGAAGGCCCTACAGAGCCCGCAAGCTGCACAGGCGCCGGGCCAGGTCCATCAGCGACTGCGAGAAGGGCTGCTGGGTGCAACGATGCAACGTCTCCAGTTTCGCGCTGTCGTGGCGCGGCGTGGTAAGACCCGGGGCCGAAAGGCCTGCTGTTTGCCTTGCCATCATTGTGTGGGTAGGACATTTCATGGCGTCACAGGTGTGGCAGAAGGAGACGCTGCTGCTGCGAAATGTTGCCGCGACAGCTGGTGATCTTCCCGACAGGATCTATACGGATCATGTTTGGCTGAAGGCGGGGTTGATCTGATGCGACAGCATTCCTGAGAATAAGCTTTTCTTGCTTCAGGCCTTCTCCGTCTTGCATGTATGATGTGTTGCAGCTTCTTTTAATGCCAACCTGATGGATAGACCCTTGCGAAGTAGCCGGTTCGTCCTGGTTCCCATTAGCGGGTTGCATGCATGAAGCCATGAACATAACTTAAACCTTTGCTTATGTAATCAATGTAATCCCTTTGCTATTTGAGCTCAAGTTCGCGGGGCTTGAGCGCTGTGCTACGCGTTGACGCAGCCTCGGTCTCAGCAGAGCGATTCAGGCTTGGAGGTTTTGCCTGATTTTCCATGAGAGGCTAGTGGCCGCTGTGACTATTAGTAGTATTTCTAGTCTTTAGACCCAGACATTATCCTGGCCTGGTGCCGCGGCACAGCTATAGCTTGAACTGTGGTCCATGTTGAATGCAGGATGATGCAGGTGTTCCGGTCACAAGGTCAGAAAGTAAAGTAGGAAAGCGCGACAGGCCCAAGTCCCAGCGTGCGCAACCAGGGGAAACCTTCAAAGCTTAAGGCATTTGCTGTACTGCGCTCCCTGCAAGTTTGTTGAAGCTGGAAGAATGTCTGGCATCCGCTGTAGACCTTCAGAACATTGAGAGCTGAGGCCGCCATGCTTGCTGCGGACAAATTACTCCTGACGAGCACCATCCGCAAGAACCTTGCTCCCAAGCTGGTAGCATTCTGGTTGCTCATTCTTGTCTGCTGACCGAGTAAACACTATACACTGTGGTTTTCACTAGGCATCCACGTGGTTTGCAAGCAATCAGAGAGGTCTTTGGGGTCACTCCAGACGCTTGGCGCCAGGCGGAATTCACACAAAGAACCAACTAGACATGACCCAGGAATGCGACGGAGCTCAAGGGAAAGGAGCTGGCACTCCACAAGGCCAGTGCGGCAACATGAAAGTTGAGAGGTCACAGTTTTGGTTTTACGGAAACATCTATGTTTAGGTATGCGAGGCTAGAAGTTCAACGCTTTGGTCTTTTGGTGGCCCCTGTCTTGATGTACACGAGGGCCGGGGTGTGGCAGGTGTAGCGCGCCCAAAGAGCAGTCTCGTAGCTTGTAGCCATGATGTGTAGTTTCTTTTCCGCAGCAGCTCCGCTGTAAGCAAAACAAAGCTCGCTCCCACTGCTGGATTAAGTATAGAGACAGACGGTTCTGGATGTATTACAAGCTTGTTTTCATGACTCATGAGTTTGCTGAAAGAATTTATTCAAGCTATTGTACATGGACGCATGGGTGTGTTCATACCCCTGCTTAGACTCAAGGAGAACTAGTCCAGCAGTTTTTGCCTCCTTGAGTCGTTGACAGTGGCAAACACGGATTTTTCTGCTCGCCGCCCCAGGGCAACTTTGACGCTGTTGGCACACAGGCAGCTGTGCTAGCCGGCTTCGCTGTTTCTTGGAATCGTTCCTGAAGCAGTAGAGCACGCACTTCCTCGCCCAACCTTGTTTTCGATGAAGCGTGTGTACGGGTGCAGTTGGGCGCCCGTTGAAGCCGTCCCCAAGATTTTGGAGAGATGTTTAGCTAGGCGGCATGACGTTGTCCTGAGGCAGTAAGTAGATCTGAGGTAACCCTATTTTCCCACTACACATCACCAGGGCCAAGGCAATTTGATCCAAACCCTCTCAGAACCAATTTTTCTGACAAATGTGAGTCCTTCAGCAGATCACCACATACAGTAGGAGGACTTACAAGCCGGGCCTAGATGACTCATTGATTTCGTATGTGGGTGTTTCGGGTGATAATCCAAGGCAGATGGTTAGCGAGTCGTGCCTTTCAAGTTACACCAAGTTCGCATCGTATCACATTTCCCACAATAGGAGCCGCCAATGTAGACCCCAACCCCAAAAGGTACCCCCAATTTCTCGGGCGTCTCCCTCATTGAGCCCTCGTAGCCCTCGCCCCTAACTTGAATTGAGTGCTCTCATGAAAGCCATTGGATGCCCGAAGGGAGGTACGCTTCACTAAGGAGGATCCCCGGGCACCAGATGCAATTTCCCAATAGCCCTTGTAGACTGTACTGCTTCCCTGAACCCTAAGCAGGTTACACTTCGTTACACTTCGAGCTGAGGTTGTCATGGTAGTTGAGTTCCACATGCCGGAGACGGCTCATTTTGCACTGCAAGGCGTCTATTATGTTTTCGCCGTGATAACGCTCCTCGGACCTATTCTGGAGTCGAGGGTGGTGACAATTCAAGTCCAGTTCCCATGCAGTCTGTTTCCCCTGCAGTCTGTCTGTACAGTGGCCTGGCAGAGCTCAACTCACAAAGGGCGACCACCGCACATGTCATTTACATGGACCTAATCATTCACGGCACGGGCGGAATCCAAAACCAAAGAATGCCAACCTCACGCTTAGTCACGTTGCACCCGAGGCTGGTTGCCAATCTGAGATGTGTCCGATCCTTACATCCCAGGCAAGGTGAGAAGGATGGCTCGTCGAGGTCATAGGCGCCTTGTGTTTAATCACACGTCTGCTTCTTCTAGCTCATCACTTTACTTGCCAAACTCGCAGCGCTGGAAGCATCTGCAAGTCAGAAAGCAGGGAGGTGGGACAGTGTTAGGAGCGCTTGTTTATCCAAGACGTGTCTTCAACCCTTTTCGGTTACTCATGCCTTGCTTGTTAAGTGCGCAAGTCGCCAAATGTAGATCCCACGCATCGCCTGTTGACCAGCAGTCCCCTCAGCGTTCAGCCTCACACCCGAAACCTACCTGTGAATATGTGCGAAGTTACTACTAGTAGAAGCAGAATATCATCACCAAAGACCCTTGCAAACCCTGAAAATTGCCACAGTCAGTTGCTAGATTGCTTGCCTGCTGTTCAGAGGGGCATGATGGAATCAATGCCGACATCGTTCTCAGAAAAATCCAAATAATTTAGGCCCCTACCTTCATCTTTGAGGTTGCCATGACCACATGCATCACCGTGATGGGGCCCCTGGGCTGTGGTGTCGAAATCCTGGGGGTAGTAGGGGAACTCATGGATATTCCCTGTTCCAAAGAAAAGCCACCAAATTTTCACATGTTTCTGATCCTGACCGTGCTCTTGATGCAGCAGTCCTTCAAAACAGTTGTTTCAAATCCTACGGAGTACAGCGGAGTTGCTTATGTCAAGCTCCTGAATCATTTGGCCTGTTTTTTTGGGTTTCGGGGTCGATGTTGGGGTCAAACCATCATGAGGGCCGCACTAGGAGGCCGAAAGCTCAATCCACTCCAAGGCGGGCTGAGCATGAAGCAAGGTGCTAATTCCTTCCCCTATGGCCTAGGAACAAATGACGTCACCCAGTACTAGTGAAACCTACTGGGGGTGGGTTGCTCTCGCTCTCTTTTTTTTGTTTTTTGTGTGTGTGTGGGCGTCCCACAGCATCCTCCGAAACCAATAGCTCTCAAAGTGGGACTGTCAAAGTCAAACCAAATTAGATGTTTCGGTGGTTCCTCTATGCAAAACTCTATTAAGGCAGAATCATCCAACAATTGAGGGAGATCCATGATTCCAATTAGGCCTCTTCAGACTCCTTTACAAAAATTAGTACAACAAAGTCCCAGAACTAGGAAATTCAGGAGATCACTTATTCTAAGCAGATTTCTGTTGGGATCATCTGTATTGATTCCTTGTAAGCTTTATAAGGTCTTTTTGAGGAAGCGAAGCAGGTTCAAAATCCCTTGTTATTCCTCATAACGGCACGCTCACGCAGAACCCCCCCACTTCAGGGGCCTTCACTGGCCCTTCAAACAAGCAGTCTTGGCAATGAAGAATTCATCCTGGATCTGTGTTCTCTGAAAAGGTGCTTTAATAGCACAGCGGGGAAAAGGTGCAACATTTGTCGACCCCTAATAGCTGGGAGTTGCTCACAACTTGAGGGTGTCGCTTTTCGGGCTTCCCAGGGTCAGAGATGATTCTTGATTTGGATTGTCGCTTTTTCAGGGTGTCCTGTCGCTTTGAAGGGTACTAAGCTTGCATGACAATCTTCTCCCACATCCCTATCCCATGTGGTCCAGAAACTCCCAGATTTGCAATAACCCTGACCTCACTTGAGAAGCCGGAGTTCCTCAAGGAGCGCTGAACCCAGCCAATTTCCATGCTAATCAAGCGTTACACACCTCGAAAACTATAAGTGGCGTGTCGAAAACTTAGTTGTCTTCTGGGGTGCAGTTTAATCCTGAGAGTTTAGGGCCTAAACTTAGGGTTGCCCCGCATGACGGGACGCAGAAGCCCTTTAGGACTGGTCTCGCTCTTCGCGGTCCTGATGGCTCCATGGTGCGGGCAGTGGAAGGCAGTCAACCGGGGCTTCAGGACTTCGGGGCCTAGGAAGGCTTATGGGGCTTCGGGGGTTTCGGGCTGAAGTGGCTCTGGAGTTAAGTTAAGCTCGGGACCTTTAAAATGGAATCTGTGTTAGCTGACATCTGAAAGTCACGTGCCCAGTCCATGGTTCAGGCCTGAGAACGCCCCTTGAGGATTCGAGGTTGGGACAAGGCGTTTTGGGGCTTGTCGGTGTTGATATCATAGACTTTATGCAGTCCAACAGATGAGCCATCAACATTTGCCAAGATGCTCTTTTGTCATGCGGCTGCTTCCGATACTTCCGCTCTGTTCTATGCTGTTGGGCGCTGCTCTGCTTACAGGCATGCAGGACCCTGGTAGGTCCCTGCTAGGTGCGATGTGTGTTAGTGGGAGATGTGCTGACATAATGACATTGTTCTTGGCATGACATGTCTTTTTGCTTGAAGATCATGTTTATTTAGCTTGTGTTTTTTGCTGGCTGTTCGGAAAGCTTGTCCGAGTTCTTTCTAAGAGGAGCTGCAAGGATCATAATTTTGGACAGGGGTCCATCTGTAATCAGGCAATCACAGGGCATGATTGCTCCAGTATGTTGAAGGATCAATTAAGTCTCTGGGCTGTGCGCACGCCATCTTGGAGGCTTGGTGCTTTTTTGTTGTAGGTCGGGTAGTGATGCCATAATACTCTGACAGCAGCAGCCATTCACAGGGCCCCTTGGTGTCGATCTGGTTAATGTCAGTGTCAATGCCATCAGCTGGCGTCAGGCATGTACAACCAGAGGGCCATCGTCTTCAGGCCGGCTGAGATACCATCCAAATCAAGAGGGTTTTAAAGGGCATCTAAATAGTAGTAGAATTTTCCATCATCCGTTTATAGCCTGTATATTACCCCCATACAACCATATGCAACGTGTTTTAAAGGTGTCAGTATGCAAGCAGCGGCAGTACCTTACTGTTCTCCAGCTCGCTACACAGCAGTTGGGGTGAGCTCGACGACTTGCTGCGAGCGTGTAACTATTTCTTGTTGGTGTGGTGTCTGCTTCTGACGGACAGCTTTGGGAGCCTCAGGTGGATCTGGGCCTTCAGGATCTGACAGAAGGGGATTGGAGTAAGAGATTCACTTGGCTGCTTTCCGCTTTCCCAGGGCAATTGGTCCAACTCTGACCTGGCTGTTTCCTGGTTATTGCATTGACCTAAAGACAACAGCTGGCAAGCCTCGGCTGCTAGATTCTGACCCCCTGAAGACGTGTTCAAGCCGCAGGCTTGAGAAAAGGGACGACAGGATCTGAATAGTCAGCCACGTTGTCTTTTGGTTAAAGATGCATGCTTATGCTACTAGAAGAGAAGCTGCCCCTCCTGACATCCTATCCACACGCTGTACAGCACCTAGAAACCACAACCCCCAGCAGCTCTCATGATCTCAGGTCCTTTGGCACCGGGATTGTAGCTTGCTGCTGCAGCGTGGCGGTCATAGCTTGGATCAAGCCACGGCCTCGGTAATACATATATATATGTATATATACACACCCCGATAATGGAGAATCAAATGGAAAAACATGGAAAGTGAAATGAAAGTGTGATTATGGTGTAGTGTAGTTTTGACAGGGATGAACAGGACATGAGCTGGATTTTGGTGTGGCAGTGTCGCTACTTAGGGGTTATGGCGGGACATTTTTTGTTACCCGCGTTCTTGCTGTGTGAAGGTTATGTAAGCTTACAGGCTTGCAGCTAGTTCATGTTTGGTTATGTTGGAGTTGTTTAAATCTGGGCTTAGGGTGGTGCAGGGGGATACCTGGAGAAGGTAGGTTTGGGGTTACCGTTATGGATTCTGGAGCTGGTTCTGGGTATGACATGTGATGTTGCCGGGGGGCATGTAGGCGTTTGCGTTGCCAGTGGGGTTGTGCGGATGAGAGTTTGGGGGGGTGGGCGTTAGAGACTTGAACAGCGCAGGTATTGATTCGCATAGAATTTTGGGGTCGTGCAGGCGGTGGGGTGGTAGTTTTGTATTGTTTGGATGTGCTTTCTTTATCGCCTTCCAAGATCCCCCAAACTGCGGATCAGGTTGCAGCACGTTTAGGCTGTAGGGGGGTGCAGCATGGTTGCAGAGTTGAGGGTTTAGCGTGTTTGGTTGGCCAGCAATGAAAGGCCGTCTGCATGCTGGGTTGGTGGTTTGATGCACCTTTTGAAAGTATTACCTGCAGCGGTAGCAGAAGGGGTGGTAAGTATGACGCATGATATCTCTCGTAAGCAGCGTAGACATGAGAGCAAACTCAGACGTTATTTCTACTGCCAAATTCCCCCTTGCTTATGCATTGCCTAAACCTGCAGCAAGCCTTAAGCCCCCTAAGAATGTACGTTACTGTATTTCCAAGCCACCCTTGCTACATGCTAGGATGGATCCCATCCCTGCCGCGATCTGTACTGGGGCAATAGCCTGGACACTTTTTTCCATTGCGGCCTGCTGCAAGTGGGGATTAAAGTTTACGTGGAAGACGTGAGCGATTTCAGGGTTCCGGATTCCACAGTACAGGGCTCGGGTTGCATGTACTTGGGGTTGCCGGTGCAAGGTTTACATCTTGGGATTTCAGCACAGCGGCCAATCCCAGGCCTTGACTTCTGCACTGTCATGAGGGTCTTGCTTTGCAAGAAGGAGAGGGCAGCACACCGTTACAGTCTCGGCAGAGACTTGAGAGCTTGATCTCACAGTGCCAATTAGAGCAGCAGAAGCATCTGTCTTGAGCCTTAGCACCAGTGACCTATGCCTCATGCCCTCTTAGGCTCCCCAATCGAGACTTTCTCTGATGAGCAATCTACACCCTGACCTGCTCCTACTGAGGCGAGATACACTAGATTCTACCTGGATTTCTTCAAGTTCAATGAAGACGAGGCAAGCTTGGGAAGCGGAGCAGCGCCACAAATTTTGGGCCAAAGTTCTAGGCACATCAGACTCATCAAGACTGCCCCTCTTTTGCTGGGGAGTGCTGAATGGAATGTATTGCAGTGATGGAGTGTAACTTTTTCCTTGACAGGATTTTGCTTTCCTACATCTCCTCCACTTCCACTGCCGGTTCATAGAATCCCAAGGTCGTCAGCTTGGATGACATATTGGGTGCCGACCTCGTGAACAAGGAGAACATTGTGAAGCAGCGCCTCGGTAGCAAAGACAAGCTACATCAGGGCGTGTAACAGCACGGCAGGCATAATGAATTTGCATCAGAGTGACAGCGGAAACCTGGAGGCCCCCATTTCCTAGGTCCTGAGAAGGTGCCTTTGCACTGACTTGGCCAACTTGTTTAGAGGGTGCGGGTGTGGGAGTTGCAACGCGGAAGCTGCAAAAGAGTACGGTCCAGGGACCTGTCGAGCTAAGCAACTCCTCTCGAAGCCGCAGCATGACAAAAGATTTGGCACTTCTTTAGCAATTCAGCTTCCGCTTCAGGCTCGGGATCGGCAGCGACACGCTGGTGCGACTGCTTGGGGCGATCACGCAGAACCGACGGCAGCACACACCTGACACCGACGTGTAGGTGTGCTGTGAATTAGCCGTCTCTGCATTGATCAATTCCAAAAACATGCTGCCTAAAGTCAGGCGGAGTCACTGCTGAATGCGCATGATGTTCAAGCTAGCAGAGCCTAGCTTGGAAATAGGGATTATAGGGCTCATCAAGCAACATCCGCGCATGAACCGGATGCCCTCCTTGACACAGAGAAGAAAGGATTAGTCTCTGTGGTCAGTTCCAACAAGTTTTCTCGCCAGCATGGGCTTTCACGCGAAGCGCGACTCTAGCCTTTTCAGTGGTCTTTGGGATGAGCAGGCAACTACTGGATCTACTTGTTCACCTGGGTGAGAAAAGGAGTGCATCCATTGACATTCCACCCTTTGCTTACAATCCACCTTCAATGCTACCTTTGAGCAGTAAGGGTCCAGAGCTTCATCAACGGTCCCATGCTCGCCTCAGCGCATTGAAACAAACCCCGCGTTGCTTTCGCCCGAAGTTGGCGGACATTCCTAGCCCCAACTGGCTAAATCTGCTGAGTCCATACGGGACTGTCTCAAAATTAGGGGTCCTGTTTTGAGTTGTGTGATGGGCATTGCAATAGGCTGATTGCGGAAGCATCTGGTCTTTGCATTGATGTTTCTGAAGGCCAGGATCTCGTTTGATGCGCCTTCCTTGAAGTGTGTGTGTTTCTTGCCCGAATTCGAGGGACCCCTACTTTCAGAACCATGCTGCCACGGGCTAGAATGACTTCTGCGTCGTCCGGCTGGCCGGACGCGATAAAATGCATTCTAGATGGCCCGAACTGCTCATTCCTTGTGAATGTCAGCCCGAAGCAGCACTTTCCAGACATGCTACACGTGCACGACGTAGCACTTTGGTAATGGGATCCTGCGCTCTTCCTTGCAAATAGGTGAAAACTATGGTGTGCCAGGACTAGGCTTTGCTGGAGTTCCAACAATCAAAGGATCCCATGCAAGGCCGCCAAACAAGTTGCCCCCTAACCAAGTGTCTAACTTGCGCATAGCAGCATGCCCAGGATGGGTAGACTTAGTCGTATGACCAGCCTGACTTCGATTTGCAAGAGAGGGGGATGCTTGGGGAGCGCGGTTGAAAGTAGGACGCCATGGTCTGCTTGTCACCTAGAAGCGAAGGCTTTCTTGAGTAGCTGCTTTTGCTGTAGTTCAGATGCACCACAGCCGCTTGAGGAATCAAAGATGCCGTTTGCACGGACTTTTGGGTTTGTGCGTGATGGGGCCAGCAAGCTTGGTCTCCATGTAAGTAGGTGCGAGACATTTTCATCTTAATAGGCGGGGAGCAATGTCGATGGAAGGGTTCTGTACAATCCATCTTTCCAAGCCCAAGACATCTACCGCGAAGCGCGCAACGATGAGCCCCACCCACAACTGCCCCAGAAAGCACAACACGACTGTCCAGAACTCAACCCCCTGAGCCCTGTAAGGTGGGGAAGCAAATCGAGCGCTTAGCGCCGAAGCCTGGGCAGCTGATCGAGTTTGATGCCAGGGTAAGGTGGTACAGGCCGCTGGCGATGGGGAATGACATGGGTGTGATCAGGGAGTATACAGGGGATTTACTGTGTAGGGTGTACAGGAGTAAGGGAAGTGCAGGGGTAAATCAAGGAGTGTTTGGCGGTGAGGGCGATTCGCCTGCTAGCTGCATGATACTGCGCGTGAATAACTCTCCGCATATGTGACCTAAGCCTAAGACCTAACCGACTCTGTTTTTTGTCCCGTGCCTCAGCAGGACGTACAGGGAGTAAAGGGCTGAAGGTTCAGCTTTTGGATTTGGAGGCTTCGGAGCTCGCATCGGGGTTTCTTGTTTGGGGCCTTAGTGCGCAGAAGTGCAAGGTTCAACCAAGGTGAAGATTCTTGGAGATGCCTTCTGATGAGCCCCAATCAGAATCATAGCTTCGGGACTTTTGATGTTTCTTGAGGCTCTTCTGAATCCACCTTTTACAATTGAGGCTTCAATGCTGAGTCGGGTGGGCCAGGCATGGCCAGGCTGTAACTGGCTCACGAGCTCACGAGGTAGTTTCTGCTGGGCTTGGTTCGTAAGGCTCCAGGCTGCCGCTTAGCCCTTGCCTCTTTCAAGGGTCCTTTGCCGCTGAGACCAAATACATGGAAGCCCTTCGATCTTAAACCGGAATGTGGCACGTCTCCTTGGCTATGTAACCCTTGCAGACGTGTGTACCGGACACGCGTACAGCTCGACCCGATCGCGCCTCAAGAATATACCCCAAACAGGCTTACGAAAAGCCCTCCCACATACCCCAGCGCCTGCCTACACTTTCAACATGACACGTAAAACTTCAACCCGACACCTTCCAACAACTCAAGTCTTGCACTGTGGGCCTCATAGGCTCCTACACCCTAATCCTTCAAGGGCACCTGAACCCTCGGATCAGGAAGCTCGGGGGTTGGGACCTGCGCCTTTCTCATCCCACGAGCCTTGGCCAGAGCTACAAACATTTGAGGCTACATTCGAATCCCTGCGCCATCATTTAAGGGCTGTACGTCGCTGCCCAGGATTGGAATTATGCTGTTGCAGGGCTTGCCGTCCTAAGAAGCTGTGTTCTTCTGGGAGAAACTCACACACAGCCAGTGTTCTCGTAGGATCTATCTACCCCTTGACTATAGGTGTTAGCAAGAAGAAGTGCTGCTGATGGTGCCCCAGGCAGCCTGAAATCCACATACCGAAGCCCTGAATACCCCAAGCCACGCGTTCCCCATGGTAAAGCTGCAAGATCTGGAATTCTTCAACACCGGGATGCCCCCCCCACTTCTTAAGTCTCCAAGTCCAAGGAGGCTGCGGAAAGCTGGCCAGGATGCCGAAGTCGCTGTCTGAACCAAAGCCATGTAGTTGCCAGTCCATTCTGAATGAGACTTGCTGTGCAACAGGCACATTGACACAACTGGGTTAACCGCAGCCCTGCCCCGAGCAAAGTCAAAAAGAGATCTTGAACCCTGCACCCTGAAACTACGCAGTGGCCATAGACATACAGAGAGAACCTGTGGCTTGAAGTAACGACTTGAAGCAGCATTTTGAGCTACATGCAGTCGCAGAAGAAAGTATTGAGGAATCGTTCAGATGTTGCCTGGCATGCTGCAGCACGTGTACGTAGTGCTAGGGAGCAAGCTTCTTGGTACGTTTATTCCAGAGAGGCCTCAGGATGGCACAGACAAACACTTGTGCCCAGACAGTCGCTGGACAAGACCGTTCAGTGCTGCCCGGATCACAACGCAGTCAGTAGAGACAAGTGAGTAGCAGTCTTGATGTCGGTCATGTTTAGCAAGAATCATGGCAAGAACTGCAGGGGTCGCAAGGGTTTGTGTAGCAGTGCTACCGGTAATGACAACGCTAAAGGGCACTGTTGGCAGTAGCAAAAGCAAGATGGGGGGTAAGAGTGCCAGGTAGACTCCATTGTGACCTGTCTCCTGAGCGATAGGCCGGTGTCCCAGGCATGTATAATTTCAGCCCGAGAGGGTTGCTGCTCCACCATGTGCATTGCATGCAAGGCACGTCTCAGGATAAATGTCCCTGGTGTGTGCATGAGGACCAGTTGTTTTGACATGCTGCGCGGTATCATCAAAATCGCATGGAACCTTGAATTGGCGTTGAGACAAGTTCACTGTTGCCTTACATGTGAGCTCGATGAGCTCGGCATGGCCTGTGGGCCCAGATGCATTCGACTGACTCCCAACTGAGAGAATTACAGCGCTCGGGCTTCGTGTCTCTCATGAGGGATAATAGAATTATTGGATTGGGACCTTGGGTACCAGGCAGTGGCTAAGACTGCCACAGTAAGGAAGTACTGGAGATCAGCCTCGTTTGAGGTCGACCGTGTCGCTCGCCGTGTTCGGCGAGGCAATTTTTCAGCAGCATGATTCAGGAATGTGCGAAACCTGTGCATTGTTACAAGTTGCAAGTGCAAATTGTGGGTACAATGGTGGATTGTATGTTCACAAGAATTGACATGTTTCTGTGGTAAAGTAAGATTCTGCTGTGCGACACTTTCAGGCCTTTCATTTTGTTTTGGTGCCCCTTCAGAACGCCCGCCCAAGCTTTCCAGAAAGTGTTTTCATTTTTTGCAAGGGACCTTGTACGCATTTGCGTTAGTCAAAGCCATGGATGTTGCTTTAGACCATTCAGCTTCAGGCCCTAATACCCCTTGAAGCTTGAATCAGCTCCGTCTTATTGGCCTGCATTGCTGGTGGAGGCCATCGAACATGCGCTGTCCACAGGGGAGTCGGATGCCGTGCAGCTTGCAACGGCACTTGCAGGTTCCTTGGCTAGCGGCTAACCAGCTCAGCAGATCTGGTGCCTTGGATTCAGAGCCACTTACACGAACATGCCTTTTGAGGTTTGGGAGTTGAAGATTTAGGTCATCAGGGATTTTGCTTCTGGATGTTTGGGCTGTGGTGGGAGGTGCTTGCGAACTTCGGCTTTGTGGTGCACGTGCTTGCCATTGCAGATGTTTTGGCCTGTAAGCTTGTGGCATGACGGCAGAAAGCGATCTAGAAGGGCTTTCAAATCTGTGGATTCTCGTTGCATGAGCAAATAGACCTCATCAGGTATTCACTAAAGACAGGCTCCAGGAACTGCTTGTCGGAAAGCCATTGTTGAGACACTCTTTCAGGTTGCTCTGCATGTTGCAGCCTCAAATTCCGCAATCGCGCTCGTAAAACTTGCCGTCAGGGGAGTCTGCGGAGGGCCTGGCGGCACTTGTGGGGCAGAATGCGGTGGACGCTGGGAGCTTGGGTACTGTAACCGAGTTGTCTACAGAGGTCATGCGAACCTCGCAAGGGGCCCTAACTGGCAGTTCCTCAATGTTTTACCTTGCGAAATGCTTTCCTTGCCGCTACAGGACCGGCAGCCTAACGATACCGTGACTTGTCATTTCTCGTGAGCCCGGTGGTTGTCACAAGGCAGTCACCTCCTTGCCAGAATCGCCTGATCCGGACAGAGTACACAGGCACATGGGAGAATGAAGGGATCTTTGAGGCTGCGATGATGAGCTTGATGTGTGTAGTAATTTTATTGCAGTCTTCATTTTTCTTGGGACTTGGGACCCGTACCAATGTCACACTCAAAAAAGGTTTGCGAACATGTCATACAAGGCATCCTTTGCTCAAATACTCATGTGTTTACCAACATACCTAACCCCAATCTTCAGCCCGGTATGATTTGCAGAAGCCCAAATCGCCAGCCTTTGCAGGATTGTAATCCTCTGGAAAAACATCGACTATGTCGATACTTTGTAAATGTCCTGTACTAGAACGACGAAAACAAGTATAGCCGCCTGAAGCCCGAAGATGTGAACACTCGGACTGACTGTAAGTAGGAATCTGTGGGACAGGTTCCTCTTGTGGCTACCAAAGCATGCGGATGGAAGCGTGGACTGGGTGATAGCTGAGGCTCACGAGTGCTTGCACTTGGGCAATCAGAATACTGCCAAACATTGGAGTATTACTAGTGCTGGTAGTGCTTTCTTCGAAAGAAGCTTAATGATTTATCTGGTGAATGATTTTGGCTGAAGCTGGATACGTGTGTCTCTGCAAGGATTCTAACATAAGGTATCATTCCACCACTGAAGAAAGGACCTGGGCTTGGGGTTTTGGGGCTTTAGGTTTTAAATGTTGAAATTCGGTCTCAAGCTTGGCGTGCAGGCTGCCGGATCTGTTATCTAGGGTATCAACAAGGTTGTGTAGGGGCATTAGGGTAAGCGGGTTTACCAAAATTAGGGGTACCCTTTTTGGGGAACTCCATAACAAGGATTATAACAGTATTTTGGGGTTTTTATTGGAGTCCTTTTTCAGAAGCTACCAGAACAAAGTCTAGACAAAACCTGGCCTTGGTGGCGTGTGCTCATGTGAGCAAATGCCATGCTTGGGTTAGGCGTGCCATGAAACTACCATGATGCCTTAGCTTGTGATTGGAAGCGCATCTTAGGCACCAAGCCCCCGCATAGGAGGCCCCCTCAACTAGCTGAAGTGGCACAACAGAACTGAACCAATCTCACCCGGACGCAACCACCTTTGGGTGGATATTGAAAATCCTGCATGACCCAAAGGACCTATTACCTTGCAATTATGGTGTTCTAGATTACTAAGCTCATGCAGGATCTTAAGGATATTCAGTACACCGCATACAGGGGAACTTGGAGAACTTCTCCAGGAGAGGCAGCCCTAGGGTCCCTGCTGAGGATAGGGGTGGGATATGAAGGGATCATAGATCTTATCAAAAGGAGGTAACATTCTTATTGTAAGATAGGCAAACGTGGGAAGGGCTCCCATACCATGGCCATAGCTCCCTTCAGGTGAAGTCAGGTCATGTAAAAGGTGTCTTGTGAGGATCAATCTTGGACTCTGAGGTGTTAATGCGAAATGCCATGTAACAGTCTTGATAATGGGCCCTTGGCTATTCTGGCCGCCACATGTCAGGAATGGCGAGTTGCTTCTTGCAAGTCTGTGAGAGTGGGATAGGCTCGAGCCAGTCTTCTGGCGGTTGTTGAACTCTGGTGTAACACCACCAAGAAATCATTGTCGAGCATTGTTTGCGGTTGTCTTCAAATGGTAAAGCAGAATCCTGGTTTGCGCGAGTGACTGCGAGTGACAGACAAGTTTCACCCTGCACCGCAACATTCGGTTGAGGGTCGCCATGCGTGCTTCCCCAACTGGTGAGCCCTGGCCTTTTGCGGTAGCGCTCGGTTAGACTCAGAAAGAGCGACAAACAGCCACTCTGCAAACAATTATTGTGAGGGTCCCCGGCGAGAGGGAAGCCATACATGTTTAGTCAGGTTTTTTGGAATTTCCGTTCGAAGTTGGGCTCCGTATGTTTGGGATGAGATTGGAAGAGCTGGTCAACGATTTCCATACTTTTCCAAGCGTCTTAGGCTATGCCTTTCTAGTTAAGAAGGAAGCGCTCGGAGTGCCCGTAGCCTGAGGAGTTGGGTGCAAGTTTGGGCAAATGCTGGTGGTCTTTAAGCAATGCTGAGCGTCCAATCGACATAGGCCTGTTCTTGCTGTTGGGTCTCAGATCTCCCGGAAGTAAGCACTTCGTTTAGTTGTCTAGCCTTGAGGTTTGCCAAGGTGCAGCCAGGTACGAGCGGAATCCACCAGTCTGGCTCAAGAAGTGACCAGAAACAATGACGTCTGCTTGGGAGTCAGATGTCGTAGAGTGCAAGCTCTGCGACCATTGCGACCCATGCCCTTGTTAAGTAGGTGATGTCCGTTTCGAGTCAAGCGGTTACGGACTGCAGATTCCAAGGTTGTTAGGAAAGCTCACCTTGTCAAAGATGGCAGGCGCCTTCCTGCCAGAAGGATCTTTCTCAACGTTGATCCAAAGAATTTTGGGGCCCACAGAAAAAAGATTCTTTGAAGCCACCCCTACATGCATTCTCAAGCTCAAGCTTTTTGCTCTGTGGACTTTAGGGGACGTCTTGTACACATCGGTGTAAGTGAAGGGGTTCACAGGTTGCGTGGGGGTATTTAGGGGTACATGGGTTGCAGAGGGACAATGTAGCGAGCTCATTTTGTTGCTGCGAGCCTTCCAGTAAACTCGCACGTCAGTGACAGAACTTCGGAGCAGGACATCAAAGATGCTTAGGATGCTTTTTACTTGCACGCGGACGCACGATTCCGATTAAGCTGAGCTTTCTCTTGAACCTGCCGGATCCTAATTATCAACAGGTTCTTAGCATCCCTGGGGCTTTGCAGCAATCGAAAAAGCTGTCCTAGATTGTCTTTGCACATACAGGCTGCTGCCGAAGGCGCTAAGCTGGGTTTCTTCCCAGCAAATCCCAGCCCAGGAGTACCGTGCCGAGCGTGGCAAGGCCACATGCTGCGGCAAGTGCTCGGCCGACTCAGGCGGCAGTGATGAAAGTCATGAAGCTTGGCTTTTCAGCATGTGGGACTTCCAAGACGTGATGTGGTTTTGTATGAAGCTTGTCCGAATGTGGGATATACAATAATTGGCCATACGTTTTTGCCGTTTCCCTGATGGGGTATGCCGGGTATGAAGAATGCTGACCTATCCAAAATCATTTTCACAAGACGGACTTGTGGGGTTTGGAGTATGCAGAGTAGTCACCAGCTGAAGCTTCAGCAGTCAACAGCCATGCGCTCCCGTGTTCATGTATTGGGATTGAGCGCTGTTGGCTTGAATGAGTCTTGTCCACCAAGCTCTTTCGCATGGTTTGTAGGCTGCAAGGGAAGAGGAAGAGGTCGCCATTTCTGTCTGCCTGAAAGGAAGCATTCGTGCCAGCTAGGTAGGAGCAAAAAGAAAATGTGGGTGGCAGAAACCTGCATTGAATTAAACCTCACCCTTCATACACTATATGCTGTACGCCCAAGACCCTGAAGCTGCGAACTATAGACCAGGAAGCGCACTGCCCGCGTTTGAGCCGACAGGCCACAAACCTCCCGAGGGAAGTTTTCCTCAGGATCTCGCCAAGCGGGGTTGTCCGGTGTTGGTGTGGTGAGGAAAGAGGAGAATCAGCAAATGAAGCAACATTTGACAGGTTTTTATGCCTTACATGTACATGTTTTTGTTTTGTTGTGAAGGATTCAGTGATTGTGTTCTTCAAGCGTGGCAGATTTCGTGCTTCAATTTGTAGGGGCCGCGAGCACTCAGGCACGCCTCAGACGCAATCTTGCATATGCTGCGGAATGCGCGACACCGCCTTGAACCCAAAGCTGTTAGTGTATGTATGGAAAGTTTGTTTTCAAGGGGATGGATGGTTGGAAGAGTTGGGCGCGTCAATGCAACGCTCGGAATTCTCGCAAAGAGCCTTCGAAAGTCATGGTACGTGTTCTGGCATGGGTAACGTTGTCATCATGACAGACTACGGAGACCTGGTGTGTAGCAATCCGACTTTGTCTAGAGTCTAGCTGCCGAGCCACACACTTGACTCTGATAGGTTTTACAGCAGTGCCGGTGGGAGCATTTTCGTTGCGATCTTGGCGCTGAGAAGGAGGCTCAGATGGCTGTTTGACTACATAGATACACTGTGTCTACAAATCTGTGCCTTGCTACATGATCTTGAATTGCGTATCCATTCTATTGTAGTTTTGGTGACTATTGTTTGGTGTGTGTGTGTGAGAGAGACACAACTCCCGCATGCATATACACCATATACACCCTCGAAAGTAGAGCGCCTCTGACAGTCTGACGGTAGCCCCATAGGCTTGTTCGTTTTTTTCGAACTAGTCTGATCTCAATCATTATTACCCTAAGAAGTATTGTGTTGTACGTCACTGCTACGCTCTGTTATTTCTTGCATCCGTGGTATTTTGAGTAAGCTACCGCTCCACTTCATGCTTCTCGTCGCATGCGGCTTCTGACTAATGTTCGTGCTCAATGTATGTCTGTCGTTTCTCTTTAGCAGATAACCTCACGCAGCTCAAGCGGAAGCTTGATACAGCTGGCACGCGTGGGGAGTTGCAAGAAAGCTCGAGAATGTAGTCTGCCCAGGATACGGCTGATGGCATGACTCTGCCTGACACCCCAGATTGCTCATACTCCCGAAGAGCAGCGGAACTCTAAACCTTAAGGTCCCCAAGTTCTAAACCCAAGTTGGTGACAGGCTGTCTGCCTCGTCGTGCCGCCTCGGTGCCCGGTGGCAGGTCCCGCGCCCGTGCTGCTGTTCCTGACAGGCAAGCATCAGGTGTTTTGTGTGGACGGCCAAGGGCACTATGCCGGCCTGGAGGGCTGTAACTGCGCGTTAGCGCAGTGGTAAGTGATAAGTATGTCAGGTAGAAAATTTGACAGCCAAATCTTCAGCTTCCATATCTGCTGCCGGAGAACAAGGGCATCCTTGTTTTAAAAGCTTCTGTGAGGTATAAAGAATTCTGTGCACCCTTTTTGGCTCCCGTAGGTTTGGGCAACTACTGCGCATCCTGTGCAGGCAATGGTCATGTGGACGACCGACAGGACTTTCTGAATGGAGGCGTCGATCAGCTAATCCGGACTCTCGCATGATGTCGCAGCAGCTTTTCAGTTGTTTTTGTTGCGTACTTGCACCTTCCATCGGACACCTTCGTTACTTCACACAGAGCCGCAAAGACAACAAAGAAACGTCGAGCTCAACCAGTACGTTCTCCTGGCACCAAAGCCCGAGACAAAGTCGGGGGTGCTTAGATATAACGACAACTGGCGAAACGCGTGGTGCGAAGATGCCATCTGGGCTCTGGTAACTGAGATGTTGCGACGGCTTGGGCCTACCCATGTGGATCCTGGACGGCTGTTCGCCACCGGGTTATCCCTTGGGGCCATTGGAGTCTGGCACCTGGCATTGCGCTACGGGGAGTACTTAGCTGGCATTGTGCCAGTCTCTGGTAAGTGTGAGTGGCCTTTCAACTCCTGGCCGCGACGTGCAGGTCCCGACCCGGCTGTCCTCCAACGCATGGAAAGACTCCCAATGCGGTGCTACCAGATCGATGCGGACCGCTACGGTGGCACCCCGGTGCATGACATCGAGTGGCTCTGCTGGAAACTACCAGAATCCAAAACGGAGGTCACCCTACGCGGCATGGAGCCTGATAGGCAGGTGCAACTCACAATCCGTACGTGGGAGCGTCCGCATGGTGCAAACTGGGCCCTTTGGGAGGCCAAAGGGCCGCTCCAGGACCATGCCTACTACGACGAGTGGGGTGGCGACAAGCACTGTCTTTGGAATCGCGCATATCCTTTTCCAGAGTGGGGAATGCCTGCCTTTCTGGCCTCTCATTCTGTGCCAAGCGAAAGATGTGTTTAGGCGGAACTTCAGCACACATTGACTAAGCTATTGGTTTGCTCCAGCTTCTTGGCTTTATTCACTTGACGATGCGTGCCCCAGGCTGGAAGCTGGATACTCCAATTCCTGTGATCGACTCCTCACAAGGGAAGGAGGACGCTTATGCCGAAACCTCTACCTTGGCATAGCCCTATACACCACAAAACTTCAACATATCAATCCCGAAAAAGGCCACACCCAAAACCCTACCTGAACCCCCCCAAGCCCCATTTGGGGTTGGTGAGAAAATGGTGCTGGAGAATCATGTTCCGAAGTGGTACGCCAAATTTGTACTGCAGGATGGATACTGTAGCAGGTACATACTACGCATGCGCAAGACAGGAAGTCAAACGCAAGAGTGCCATCAACGCGACAACAGTCAAAGTAAATCGCCCGCGTCAGAAAATCGTAGAGTACACGGGACGATGCTTTGGGTGCTGGGGAAAGCTCAGAAGATCAAGACTTAACATTTTGCTATTCCGCAGGACGCGATGGACGTTGATCAGGTTGGCAACCAGGGGGAGCCGTCCCTCAGCCGAATGTTCGAGTGGTAGGGGTGCTGGAGAGTTTCGTGGCCATTTCATGGGACGGTTTACAGCAGAGAATTCGCACGTGAAAGATGTCTCCACACTTTTTGAGGTCCTCAGCGTTGTGGCGCGCTTTCTTGAGAGCATGGTAGGATCCCAGGATGCTTGTTCTGAGTGGCCATCAGTACAGGAAGTATGCATGTTCAAGTACAGGTGGGCTCTGACAAATGGAGCCTCAAACTCTTACCCTCGGTCCTACAGCCTTGATCCTTAGTTACTCCCCCTGCAAGATTGGGATCTCTGCGACAGACCCGTAGTTTTCAGAAACTGTTTGTAAGGCCATGCAAAATGAGTACTGGCGACATGGAGGTCATGGAGGCCGCATGACCACGGGTGTTTGTTCTTTTCCAAGCTGGATGTGAGGTGATCAGGGTTGGGGATTTACCGTAGCTGCAGCTGACAAATTCCTGCCTTGTACAGTTCTGTGGCTTTTAGCATCTCATGGCTCAGGGTTTAGGGTGTATGTGGTCAGGGGCTCTGGGTAAGCGGCCGCCTGCAAAAATGCTGGATTCCCTTTTTCACAGGCAGATGCCGAAACATGACCGTGCCACTCGCGTTTGATCAAGTTAGGGCCGACCCGTTCGGTTTCTTGCGTCTAGACAGAGATCCTTGTTTTTGATTGTGCTGCTTGGAGAACATTGAAAAAGCCAGAGCTTTTGCTTTTGTTCTGGATCCTACTGTACCGGTGCCAGGAGCAAGTCCACCTACGGGAGGAAAAGGCCAATGAAATGATCCAGGCCATTGCTGCTTGAGCACCCGTCTAAGGGTTGCCGGGGAAGGCCCCCGGCAGACAGCAGAAAAGTAGAAAGTAGTAGAGATCTGCAGGGATAACTGGGGGTTGATCAAGCTCTCGTTGACATTTCTGACCGTCTGACGACCTTCTAGACTGCAGCGCGGGGTGTCTTCACAGTAGTCCCCAGAGCCGTGTGGTGTGACCATTCCGGCCTTCAGCTGCAAGAATGGACGCATGCCAACGTTGACATGCCGTCGTAGCACTCTGCACATGTCACCTGAATTTTGGAGGCGGTCTGAGGCCTGAACAGAATTTCGGTAGTCAGTAGATTTCTTACGATAATAATGTTCATGCTCACAAAGCGACATGCTTTGACAAGTGCAATGGTATTTACCATCTGTGTTTGAGCATTGTGCTCGGCCTCCTAGAGTCTTTTAACTGCATAGACATGGTGCTGTGGGTAGCTAGAGCCGTCGTACTGTGCGGCGGATTCCGTAGATTTGGCTGTGAGCCAGAACATCTCAGACGGAGCTCAAGTTATTTAGGATGGCATCACGGTGCTTACTCGACTTGTTGACAAACACGCAAGTCTTAGGCTTCCTATGTATGATTTCTGAGTCTCGTCTGATCGCACCTTGCCTACTGCCAGAACTGATTATCAGATAGCAGCCTACCACGTGATACGACCCACAGTGAAACAGACCGGGCTGCTGCCACACGCTTTTGCGGGGATTAGATTTGGCATTACGATTCAAGTCGAGACGAGGTTCTCTGACTTTGGTGGGTTGAATAGTATGATGCCATTTGCTGCCAGTCAGTGAAGTGCAGTGCCAGCAAGTGCCCGGACGGACTGGCACTGGTACTGGTATTTTGGATTCACACAAGTATTACCAAGACGAGGTACCTTCTGATGCTAGAGGCTCGAGATCTCAGGTGGAACGGGGAATGTTCGGGCAGGGCGTTCTTCTAGGATGGCTTCTTCTGTTTCATTTTGGATTGGAAGGGGCAGTCCCAAGATCTTCATGCTGACGCAAACCCCGCAGTTATCCAACTGCACTATGCCTGAATGGCTTGGATGCTTGCGAAGCTCTTTTGACAATTAGTGCCTTGCCAGTCTAGCGGCGCAAGATTTTCTCTATTAACAGCCCGGAAGGCTGAAGGAAATCTCGTCAGTAGCTTACAGTCGGGATTGACTGGGTAAGAATTGTTGTATGAAGAAATATCTGTACTTGGTCAGGCCCCCTGGAACTGCGTGTAGGGTCCCCTTCTCTCTGTCTCCACTCCGGTCCTGTATTTCTATACCCAAAAGTGAGTACGGTATGCGCCCTTTGATGGTACATCACTGGACCCTTAATCATCAACCTCGACATCTTCAACCCTAAGCCAGTGCACGTTGAACCTATAATCTTGCACTCCCGAAGTTCTGGCGGTCAAAGTCGAATGACAGACACGACAAATGCAAAGCCACTGCATTTGTGCGCTGGTTGTCGAAAGTTGTCGCTCACGCCGCAAGTTTGTTTTCCAAGTTGTGTTTCAAGCAAGCTGTGTGACCTCCTGGCGTGATGGAGTCTTGGCCATTGAGAGCATGCTGACTTTTTGTTTTGGTGGCGTATGTCTTAGGGGTCTTCGTGTTGCAGAGTTGAGCAATCAGGCTCTTTGCTGTTTCCATCGTGTCGTTGTACGAGTCCCCTTTTGGCGGGTATTGACTGTGGCGACAAGGCTAACTAATACGGTCTCCAGCAGTGCACATAGGCATCTTCGCAGCCCATAGGTCTTGCTGATGATATGGGTGCCAGCCCAACATCAGCCAGGTCAGGTAGGGGTAAATACCATATTGCAGACTTGTGTTGACTATGGTGAGCTGCTCCTGTCATTTTCACGCCCTTTGGTCGCCCCCCACTGAGTCTTGCAGGTTTTCCTGGTTGCATAGCTCCCAGCTTCCATGGACTCCAGTTAAAGGATCAAGGAATGAAAGGCCGCCCTAGCCGCAAGTGCAAGCTGCAATTCCCCTGGATCCCCATCTTGCTTGTCATGCTTAACAAGCCCGGGTAGATGAGAGGTAGATGAGAGAGGTTCAGTGAGGTGCCTGCAGTGCGGAGCCCATCCCAAGCAAAGTGCGCTTGAGAAGAGCCATGTAACCGACCTTAGATGTGTTGACACTCCTGAAACTCCCACATTTTACCCTGAATCATTTCCTGCCTCGAGCATAGAGCTCCCAGGAGCTGATAGCCGCGACGCGCCTTGATTGCACTTGGACATAATTTTTGATGATTCGGTCACACTGCGGTACGATTGCAAAATCAGAAGCCCTATAAGCTCAGAGACCTACACCATGAACACTACCTTCTAAAGCCTGAAGCCTAAGCGCCGAGACTCAGGCACATGTCATGCGTTAGGTGCTTCCTGGGCAGCCACGAATCGTCACCACAAGGGATACTAGCAATTACCCTCTCCCTCCCATATCCACATCATATGCCACCAGCGATTAGATTTGGGTCCGTCTATTTTTTACACTATTATTGGGTGAGGGGATAGCCTGATCCATGCCCAACAAGGATTCCCGAGCAGCGCCCACGAAGCTCAAGCGATAAGGCCCAAACCATGGGTTTTGTGGGGGTAGGTTTTAGGGTTGGGGTTCCGGAGTCCAGGATGTCAATGGCCTGCTCAGAGTGCAATTTGGGTTTAAGGCTTGTAGGGCTTGTAGGTTTATACTTAGGAGGCTTTGGCTTTGGTGCGGTGTTGGCCCGGGGGGGTCTTGGCTGCACTCGTTGTGTTGAGTGAAGGTCTTGTGGTCAGGGCTCTTCTGCTTGGCCCAAGGCAGGCATCCAAATGTCATTAGTGCGTCGAATCAGTTCTTCAACACGTCATTAGATGACTACTCATGTTGTTAAACATAACTTGTGATTTCCGTAAAAAAGCCCTGAGCCCCACAGTCCACTGATGATTTGGACCCAAGACATGAGATGCTACGACATCCCCATGCAGGTCTGGCCCGCGGCACCCACCCCGCACCCAAAGGGAAGCGCATTGAACTGGGATCGGCTCTTTCGCCCTCAAAACATGCTTGCAGCTGAAGCCAGGACTTCCCTTTGGTGCTTTCGCCGCCTTGCTGTTGATAGTCAGGGTGGACGTAGGTACGCGTTGACGGGGATAGGGTCACGTGAGGGCACGTGTCTGAGGCAGTTCCTCCAGTTCGAATGTGATGTGATATGGTTTAATGATGTCATGCATGACCCTCGCAGCAGGAGGTGACCCGCTCAGTTCGGCACACGTAGCCAAGATTTGGAGCATTTCTGGGTCCAATGTGCTTGTGGAAGACTATCGAAACAGTATCTTCGTAGGGGTGACAGAATCCGCGACATGTTCTCACAGCGCTTAGCAGGCTTAACAACTGGAGCCATCAATTTTGCGGGTTCAGAGCAACTTTCATGTCCCAGAGCATTGCACCCCATCCGCCCACTGTGGAGCACTTCAAGCAGGTTCCTGACTGGAACCGGTTGGAGAATTAGTATCAGGCCTGCACGAAGCGGTGTCCGCTCCGGTGCACACAATGCTTGTCCCAAACTGAATGAGGTCCCCGAAATCCGAGACCTGTATGCCTTCATGACGTCTGAACCCTTAACCCCAAGCCCTCAAACCCAAATTCACACCTCCAAGGCCCAGTCGAGCATGCAGCGCTCGGGAACTCTGCGCCTGGGTTGCGGGGCGCTCCACGCACCTGCAGGATCTGTCTGGGGCCCAGGGATCTTGCTGTTCTGGATGTACCGAAACAGTTGTGGGTCCCTTGCTGCTTTGCGGGTATATGATATAGGTGGACCAAAGATCTGAAGCACTTCCGTGCGAGTGCTTCTTGTCTTTGTAGTTATTTTTCAAAAGGTTCTTCTCGCCATAGTGATGGTTGCTTCCATGTAATGTCACTGTGTCTGTATATGATTTTGTGCTGTGACGTTAGCTCATCTTCAAGAATTTAAGGAGGATTCATCAGGTTCAGAGCTCAGGCATGACTCGGCATGTGCCAAGATTTGGTCCCCATGTAGCTTGCCAAGTCCTGGGGCCGCTACAAGGCTCTTCCAGTTGTTGCTCTTACAGACCTGCAAGGGTATACATGCAGGATCTGTTGGGAGTCCCAGCTGGACTCCCGCTGCCCGAGGGCTGGGTTTAGGGTTGACTGTCAAGTACAGAACGCCCTTCTGTTTGGTCAAGGGATTTCCAATGGGAGGTCTTGCGCTATGTAGCTCGCAGGTGACCGAGAGGAACCCTGTCAGACGTTATGGAGGGGAGGCTTCATATCAAACGACTTACGTTATCAGATATGCCGTACACGTATGCCATACATGTCTCAACAAGACAGGGCGCGAGGGATAGCTCCTGGAAACTAGGCATGCCCCTTGAATCTCTGCCTCAGCATTAGGGCGAGCATGTTGTGTTTTCCTTGGACCAGAAGCTCCCATGTCTGGAGTGTATAGCGTGTTTACAGACTCACCGCTTCATGATGCCGAGTTTGCTGCAACATGGCGCAGTTCTCTTTCGTGACTGCTGCAGCCTCAGCTTCTGCATCTGCCCTAGCGGATTTGCCAGGTTTGTGTCGCGTTGCAGTAGGCTCTTGATTTGCTTGCACAGTGGGCAGGCAAAGGTTTTTTGGCTGTGACCTTCTTGGGGCCTTTGCACAAAGATCCTTGTAAGCAGGGCCTTGACAGAGGGTGGCTGCCGGGCAGCTAAATATTCATTTGGCCGAGACATTTTCCGACACCAGCTTTTGTGATGGAACAGCTTCAAACTTCATCGTCCAGGTGCTTCCTGAGATTTTGATTGCAACCACAAAGCCTCGGAAGTAATTTGCCAACGACGCTTTCTGAGAGAAGAAGTCATTATGGGGAGTTGAAGTTGGTCTTTCGTATGGGTATAGGGGGGTTAAAGCAGGTTTTACTTGCAGAGCGTGAGCCCTCGCAAGCTGCGTGCATCTGCTCTTGGAGCGTGATGCTTGCCAGGTGGCATCACCTGCGCGGAGGACCTCTTTTCTTGCAGGTAAGTCAAGTAGGTCCTAGATGAAGCTCACTGATCGCATCCACTCCTTTCTTTCCCCTTCAGTCCTTTCCGTCACTTCCATCCAATGTGTGAAGGACTTTGGTTGGGTGGTGAGAGCCATGGGCTGTGAAGGCTACGACTACGTTGGTGGCGCTGCACCTCGCACGGAGGTGGTCAAAGGACGGAAGTTCGGGCTGAGTCTCACAATCTGCTAAGATCCCCCAAACAGACTTTCAGGGGAGGGTGGCAAAAAGTACGTAAACACCCAAACAGGCTGGCGGAAGCTTTTCCTTGTCCGTGGCATGGAGCGCCCAATTTGTCTCCACGGAGAGGAGTGGTGTTCACGTCCAACGAGTCTCCGCCCGATCAGCCGATCCCCTTCCACCATGAGCTGGCGCAGCTGGTCGACGAACCAAGTACGGGCTCAAAGAATCCTCATTCCCCTTAGTTTTAAGAGCTCAAGGCACCCCAGCCCCTGCCATAACAGTAAAAACTATCCATGGTATTGTGATATCTTATCGTTATCGCGCAGTTTGAAGAAAATAGGGCACTTTGAAAGCTGCGGATGCATTAGTTCCAATACGGGAAACTCTGCTTGAAATTGACGTGGGAGATGGAATGGCGACTGACCTCTGTGGGGCTTGAATAGGGTTTAGGGCGAAGGGGCCTAGATGAGTATAACCGGGGAGCATTCTGTGGCAACATAGCCATAATAGGATTATGACTGGATAGCACCTGCAACCAGTCAGGCCCTCTGCGTGGCTGAACACAGAACACTGATTTGAAGACTCATGCTTTTCAACCCCAAATATTTCCAAAATTGTGCGTACAGTCAACTGTTTGAATTAAGGATTATGCATACATCTATGTATATACAGCTTGTATACATAAATATACATATATATATATATGCATGTTTCGGAGAAGGGATTGGTAAGAGTGATCCTGAGAATTTGATGCTGATACTGTAGTATCAGGAACACCATCAGGGTCATAGGAATCAAGCCAGCCTCATACATGGTAATGATGGCGACGCCTTAGCATTCCTTTACATCATGGTGGTAATTGATTAGTGCTGACAGCACACGCTGCGTCCTGCCCACGCAAGGCAGTCTCCGACGCCCCCGAACTACATCCTCTTCTGCTGCGAAGTGGAATCGAAGCATGGAGGGGCCACGCCTATCATCCCTTCTGTGGCTCGGCCAGCAGATCTCACGCTGATGAGACCGCAATACTAACAACACTACTGACACCATTCCCCAACAGTCATTGTGTGGTTGAAGCGTGCTATACCTTAGACCTCGAGCCTTATTCTGGCCATCCAGGTCCTTGCTGTGGACCTTACAAGACAAGATAATCTTTGCAATGCACGCTGATGCAGATGTGTGTGCATTGTGTTGAGGATGAAGTGGCTGACTTTTTCATCAGCCACTTCCCCGACTTTGCGAAGGAGGCTTCTGTACACTCCGGGAACTTTAAAGCAGCGAGTGTCCCAAGACAATGGACCGTCCCCCCTGTTGGCAGGTAGGCAGTGTGCAAACTAGTTTTTCAGGAAGCATGCATTGACTTGCTGACATCCTTTGCTGGCAGCGATGCCAAGCCAAGTTCAGACCATTTACATAGCATGACCGGAATTACTCCGCACAATAATCCCCAAGAATGACCGAGCCATGGACGGCCAGGTGGAGACCAAGGGGGTGCGCTACATCCGAACGATGCCAGAGGTCACAGATCCGACGTCTGCCCAGGTGTGGATGTCACATTCTAAGCTCCCAAATTCCTGAGCCTAGAAGATTCGCCACCATTTCCTTCCTGAAGGATGTCTAATTAGCGGTATTGGGAAGCCCTATGCCTTCAATTGCATCCATAGACTCAGAGCAGGGGCGCTCTTGGGCTGAGTCCTACGCGGTCACAACGCGAGAGGAGGCTGAGGAAGTGATGAGGAAACAAGGCGGGATCTCTGCCGTTACAGTAGGAAGCAATTTAAAGGTCTTATAGGGATGGGTAACGCAACAATAGCAAAGGCAGAAAATGGATACTGTAGTTCTTACGCCTGAATCCCAAAACCCTCCAACCTAGATCAAACTCCTTAAGACCTAATTCCTTCAAGCCTGAACCCCAAAGCTTATGAATTCTTGTCTGTCCCAGGGTGTCCCTGTATATCCCTACAAAGCCATGGAGGTACTACCTGGGAGTGGCTTCCCGGCGGTGACCTCAAAACAACCACGGCGGCGCTCCCTGCGCTTCGCGTCCCGGCTGCTCTTTTTCCAGGATTTTGGAACTCAGAGTTTCTCAAAAAGATTTAGGGTTTCGGGGGAGGGAATAAAGAGCAACATTGTGCAGTTCAGTGTTTGGGGGGATCCAGGGATTCCTAACCCTTTTTGTAATTGCCACATATCTCTAGTCTCTTTAAGGCAGCCAGACATAATTGGGGCAACATTGCAGGCTGCACATAACAAAACATCCTAATTTTCATCCAATATTGGTCGTGAGTGGAGACACTACCGAACCGGAAGCCCTAACTCCATCCCCGCTGTAGGGTATTGATGGTGATGCTTGGTGATGCAGTTTTGAGAGATGGCAACCTTTTTCCGAGATGTGAAAGTTGCACGATGGTTCAGCGTTTTGGCCTTGAGAGTTGGAGGCTACAGGGTTTTCTTCGGCTTGCTAGGAGCTTGGGGATTGTGGCACTGTCCAGTAGCTTTGGGGGCATTTAAAGCGAATTCCCAACCGCAGCATTGCACAGGATGGGTGGGTTGAGGTCCAACCACTTGGAGAGTTGGGATAAGATGGATTTCAGGCCAGGTTTTGAGCATTTTTCACGGGACGAGAGAGGATCCCCCAATCTGGATCTCGCACAGGTGTTCGAATCTGAAAGTAGTAGAGTAGAGCTTAAGCTTCTCCCGAACATTGCACACTGAACCCCTGGCTCCAAATATGGGAGCTACTAAGGGGTGGATGAGCGAACTGGACGGCGAGTCTTTTTCAACTCCGTCATCGCTGCCTTCACGGGCTGGAACGACTCGAGGCACGAAAAAACAGTAACAGAGGCATGTCACCAGAAGGAACCAACCTCTGGAAAGGGAGAACGAGGAGGCGGAGAGGAGGAGGGGGAAGAGGAGGAGGAGGAGGAGGAACAGTCACAATAGCAGTAGCAGAAACGACAAGTCTTACGTCTAACGACAGGAGCAAATGTAGTGGCGAGGTAGGGCACGTGATGCATTGTTTTTTTTCTACAAGAGCATGTATACCTGCATTGGTAACGTCTTACCAATGTACATGTATATATAGATACACGGCGACATGTTCATTTTTAGTGTTGTGTGTGTTTGGCAATAGGACAGGTATTGTGTTTATGTACTTGTCACGACCACTCCAACATCCTCAATTGAATTTAACTGGCTATGGAACTTGTTCACACGGATTGCAGTACAGCTCTGCATGACATTCAGTTCACGGCATACCCTTTATTTGAAAAACTGAATATAAAAAAGCCAAGTATCCTCAACGCTTACCTGCTTTGCCTCCAAGAATTTTCGTTTCGTTGCTCTCCACGGTTGCTACCCTAAACCTGCTGGTGCGGTTGGGTTTACAAGGACAAGTTCTTCTTGCGAGCCCGAAGGTCACTTCATCAGGTACAGGGTATATCTTCAAAACAGACTTCTTTTGTTGATGGCATGTCTGGGTCACCGGTTATTTTGGCCCCGGAATTAGTACAGAATTGCTTGTGCTCAGAGGCTGCAAACTTCGACTCACCTCAGGCCTACAGCCCAACAGCAGGAAGCAGGATCCTTAGGCAATTTCCCGTTGGTTGATGTTGCTAGATCCTACATGGCAGGTTGTCAAGTTCATAGCAACTTTGGGTCCTCTTTAAGCCGAATCCAAACATGAGCAACACTTTCGCCCACCTTGACCGGAAAACCTGCTTGCAGGAATGTTGGTGAGGAGGCCGTGGTGCTGGGCGACTACAGCCCAGTGAACAAGCCTGCGCTCAGGGCTGTGGCACGCTTCATGGCCGAAAGAGAGGTGGGATTGCCTAACTATTAGGATTTAGCATCCGCAGAGTGTTCGGTGTGTTTTTTTTTAGATGAAGCTCCACGAGGGTGTTGCTGGAGGCTCCGTGGGTGGCAAGTTCACCAAGCAAGCCTGCAGCAGTTTCGATGCACAAGAATGCGTTGACTCCATGATTTTCTATGCCCATGTGTAGTGTCTCTTTCAGGAGTTGCGGTATCGCGGTCAGCTAGTTAAAGGAAAAAAGATCAACTTCAAGGCAAAAGCACTCAAACTAACATCCCCCAGAGACTTTCCGTGGGCAGGTGGCATTTGCGTGGAAGAAGGGCGAAGCTTGCCTGCAGTGCTGTCCTCATTCTACACCCTACAGATTGCCTAAATCCCTACGAACCTGGATCCTAAACCCCAAATCTCTACTCTACACCCAACATTGTAGCTTCCATGCCCTAGTCAATATTGGCATCATGAAAGTCAGTGCCATGCCGCGAACGCTGAGGACATTCTGATTGTTGACAACAGCAGTGCACCTCGGTCAGCAAAGGAAACCTGTCAGTAATAGATAATATCTCATGAGATACTGGCAAGGGCAGAAGAGGAGTTGGATTTGTTGGATGGTGTACTTGGGATATGCGAGTGAGCAAGTAAAGTCCGTAAATGCAATCTGAGCATTTCCCAAGTGGTCTTTTCCAGTGATGCCTCATTTGTCCCACCCTTTCTTCTCCGCGCCGCTTTGGAGGTCCTCCACTCCAGGCAGAGCTTCGAGCCTCCTCGACGCGTTCTCGCGGCGCTGCGTGGACCACCCCTGCGTGGCCCGGTGCTGCGCGCAGGTGCCCGAAAATGAAGGGTTCTTGGGGATGCAAGTGCTCTTGGTGATGTGAAGAAGTTTTTGCAAGATTCGAGGGTCCGCGACAGAATGGCGGTTAGGTGCTTAGGGTTTTGTTGATGTTAGGGTCTGAGTGCTGGGTTCTCGGGGTTGAAGGTTGACCTCATGTGGTTTTGCAAGATGAGCAAAAACATCTGAACCGCGACTGGGGCAACTGGCTGATTCTACCACTCCACTCCACCTGCTTGCAGACCTTCATGTTTTGATGAGAGCCGCGGTGCTGACGGTCGGCAGGCATCATTGGCACTGGAGCCATGGGCAAGGAGCACATCCGTAACGTGGCGTCTCGCCATTATTATGAGCCGCTTGAGGTGCTGCAGGTGTTGGGTTCTTACAGGCCGAGATTCACTAGTAGATAAGTAGGAAGAGCTCAAGTCATGGCCACGCAATCCCTAATATGCCCTTATATTTACTTTGTAGCTTACGCGAGCACGATCAATATAGCATCCCAGGCAATGCTTGCGCATAGGGTTGAGCAGTTTCCTGCGCTTGGCGTTGACAGTTTGAGGATGGTAGTCTTGAAGCAGGAAAAGCCACGCGAGTTGTCTCGGACAGCCACCGAAAAGTATAATTTCTTGTGGGGTTTCGAGTCGGTGTTGAGGGGCAGCTTTGCCATGATTCTGGCAGTAGAAGAACAGATTGCTGTTGTTCAGCTTCCCACACACCTTGTACCAGTTCTCAAAAGGGGCCTGCGTGCTTCAGTCTGAGCTCCTGGCTATGATATTGCCAAGGCCCTAGACGCTTACATTAGGGATTGAATGGATCCTGATTGTGATCCCTATTTAATCCGCAGGAAACCGCAGCAATATAGTCTTGTCCGTTTTCTTTTCCATTCCGTCATTCTCTACTAGCTAGAGGTAATCAAAGCGAGGCCCTGTTGGATGGGCAGATGGTCGTGACTGCTGTCGCTGACACGAGCGAGGCCTAGGGCAGAATTTCGATTTCCATGTTGTTGAATTTTGAACCCTAAAGCTATCAATAGCCGGGTACTAAAACATGTATAACATACAAACTGATAAATACATAGCCAGGATTCTTCATTAAGAGCAGTGTCCCCAGGCTGCTCTCCGAGAGGCCTTGGAGGAATTGGGGGGCCTCTTGGACTTTGGCACCTTGGGTTGGGGTCGCCTTCTGCGGAGTTCCAGGATGGACGCATAGGGGTAATTACAGGGTCTCGGGGACAAAGTACCATAGCTGTTGATCTCATAATCCCCTGTGCCTAGAAATGTAGTGGTAAGGCTTTTCTCATTGTGTTGATACACTTCGGCATGCTACTTGGGTAGTTTACCGTCAACTTTAGGGGCCACCGCCCGCAACATTTTTCGAAGATTAGCCGGTTTCACGTTCATTGTTGGATTCATTTTCGCACTTGCCTCCAGATTCATGACTTGCTGTTCGCTGTTTTCGACTTCGTACATTTTCGCGTGTTGGTCTGGACCACAGGATGTCAGAGAAGGTTTTTGTTGAGCATTAAGCTCAGTGGAGGCACATCAGAGAAGGTCCCTGCGGACATAAATTCCGCAACATTTCTCCTGGCTGAAGCAGTCTCCCGTAATTAAGGGGTTTCGCGGGTTCTGTTTGGTTGCATGCAAGGAGAACGTGCTCCCCGTGTAGCCATCTTCCGCTCCGATGAGGAACCGTGAAACAGGGTCCGAGTTTGGGATAAGGAAGCGAGGAGGCCTCAAAAGCACAGGGCGCCCTGAAAGGCGAGGGGTTGAAGGGCAGAAGAGGATGGTTCTTGACAAAGCCTCAAAGGCCCAAGTAAATGCGACACGTACCCGCGAGAGAGGCAGCATTGCAGATTTAGGGCTTTCGTCAGGCGGGCCAGCTTGCAGTCTCCTTTGAGGCTCATGAGAACATAAACCAGAACAGGGACTTCATTGTAAGCCTTCACAGTTACAGCCAGCAGGATCCCCGACCAGCGGTCTGTCCAGGTTTTCTTATCCCACTCCCGCACGTAGATTTACAATGATTTCTTGTCTCAAGTGCATACAGCAAGGCCTTTAAGGGTACACCTGTGCAAGAGTGTGAAGCATGGGGCTTTCAAACACATCATTAGATTGGACAGTGCAGATCTGTCCCCTACTTCGTGTTCCCAAACCAGCTAGCCACAAACCCTGACAAGCGCATCTTCTCGAGCAGGAGATCATCAACTGCGACTTCGTGGATGTCCTCATCATTTGCACGCCCAACTTCCAGCACATCCACACGCTTCGAAAGGTGGGCCAAGTGTCTCCCCATCATGGTCTCGGGGTTTGGGGTTGTAGGCTTGAAGTTTGCCTCAGGACGCATGAGGAATTTGGGTTTAGAATTTGCGCTTTCCTAACCATTTCGACCTGTCAACAGCTCCGCCGAGCATGAAGAAGATGAGGAGGGGAGGCTTGAAGCCGCCATGATCGCTGAAGTATCTTCTGCATAGACTCTTGAGCGTATTGAAGGGGCTTGTGCTTTCTATCTTAGCTGCGCATGTCTGGATAGCCCTTGCAAGAATTCTGTTGCTTCGGGAGTTTTGTATGTGAGGGATGCCTGTTCGAGATGCAGCTGTAGGCAAGAAACTAAGATCTGTAAGGTCTCATTCCCAAAGCATCGATCCTCTGTAGGAATCCCCGGTTGCTGCAGGCCATCATGTCTGGCAAGCACATCCTTTGCGAAAAGCCGTGCCCTGACTGAGCTGATGCAAGGGTAGAGACCTGATTCCCAGACGTAAGCCTTGTCTCTTCGACTGCAGATCATATGCCTGAGCATGGGTGCTCTGGCCGGATTGTTGAATTTCCAACCGCCGAAGAGAATGTTCAATTGGTAATTATTTGCTCTTGTTTTGTGCCCATATCAATTCCTCATACAAGCTCCTCCCATATCCCTGAGACATGGATTGAGAAGTGCCGGCGAGGGAGCCGTTGAAGGTCCTCTCTAGCAGTTTTCATCGTCCATCCTTTGCCAGGCTGTGCACAACGGTGGAAGACTGCGAGGAGGCGCCATTGAAGAAGGGCTGCTGCACTATCATACTTTGTCATGATTACCCGCCAGGTCGTGTGGACTCATGCAATCTGACTCCAGGGGTAAAGAGCAGAATGGTGCATAGCTATGGATTTTCCATGAACCGTCCGGAAGTCCAATGTCCTTGACCGCTAACGGCTAACTTGCAATCTAATTCAAGTGCCTCCCCCAGCTGCACGCAGAACCAGGCTATACCATCGCATCTTGAAAGAGTGGCCAGCCATCCTACGTCCTCAGCCCATAAGCTAGGGCGCAAACCCTGAAACCCCACACTCAATCCTACATAATCCTACATAAACCCTTGGCCGAAGTGGTGCAAGGTCGAGCGTTTGCTGACAGAGCGCGTTGTACGCTCTGGCGCCGAAAAGGCGCCTATCTTCATGATTCTCGGCTGAGCTACCTACAACCTGGAAGTTTGAAAGACATGATCCTAAGTTTAAGATGCCTCATGATTGCTCAGGATCGTACTGTTTTGGGTTGAGGTTTTTGTTTTACGACTGAGACTTCATTTTGTGGAAAGTTCCTTGGAGCTTATGGTCTCCTTTTCAGGTTCTGTTGGTGAATCCCAACTTCTGCAACCTGCCTGCTACTATATTATACTGGCCTTTCGAAAAATAAACTGTATGGATGTGTGGCTGAGGACGGGTATGGAGTACCGGTACATGCCGCCTATCCGTCGCCTCATTGAGGAGTCGGACTCAAGGTGCCCTGCCTATCCAGCAGAGATGAAAGTCTATGAGCACTGAGGAAATCACCTCCTTCATCAAGTATCTCGCTAACTCCTGGAATGTGTTGGCAATCCCTCCAAAACGATCAAGAGGCCTGCCCATAACAGCAGTCATGTTGATCATACCGGTGATAATGCTGGCAGAAGTAGCATGGTTAACAACCTTTACTGCAAGCACAGCAGACGAAAGCGACAGCGAGAGCAATGAGCAATATTGGTTGAAGCCGCTCGATCCGTGGTACTGTTTCCACTACTGCCAACCACTCCCATAGTATTGAGAGCAATTCCAAACATCCTTCCGTAATATTTGGGATATCCCCACACCACATCTCCATCATAAATGTGCAGCCCGAACAGCAATGGCAGGCTTCACGTAGGCAGCAGGGGCCCAAGCAAAATCCAAACCTTCAGTTCCTGAAGCCATTCATTCCAAACCGTCAGACCTTAAGCTCTTCATTAAAGACTTGGGTTGAATAGAACCCCCATGTTTTTGTATACCTTGAACCCGGCACAGAACCGCAATGGTCATTTCGGATACAATCTCTGCAATATCCTAGTCCTGCGCCCTCAGCCATGTCAGGAAGCTTGGGGAGCCGAGGGTTCTCTCAATCCGAGAACATCGCTTCCCCTTCCTAGTAAAGGCAGCTGGGCCAGCGAGGAAAGGCTGTTGAGGTTTTGATCTATTCTGGTTGACTTTCGGGTTCAACGTAACGGGGTTGTAGGTCATAGGATTTGATGCGGGGGCTTTTCAGAAAGCGACTTCCATCAGCACTTTCGAGAAAGCAAGGTTGCCCTGACAGGCTTGAAGAAAGAGCAGTTTGCAGCTACATTGATTGCCGCAATGCGCACTTTTATCCAGAATTGCAAATTTGATCCTAGACCGCTCTGTAAAGCTCAGGTGGACAACTGGAATCGAAACTTGGGTGGCAGTTAAAGGCTGAAGGGCTCTGCCGGCCGAGGTTTCAAGGGCCCGCGTCTGCATGATGTCCCGAAGATTCCCACAGAGAAAACAACGGCGCGCATGATTCTGCGCGAGGTTTAGCTTGCCATGATGATGTCCTGGAGTGTCTGCTGATTACTACCATGATCTACCTTGTCTGTAACCTATGAAGCTAAGTAAATCCATGCGAGGACAACCTCAGACAATATGAGCCGGCAGCGTGGGATTTGCTGGCTTCTGTTTTATGACTTCCTTAGCCAGTCTAGATCATGTCTCGGGCGAGGGCCATCTCCTGCCTACGTCTTCTGAGAGCGCCCGGGTCTCTTGCACTGGGCAGTTCTCAGGCTTCCTAGTTTCATCTCCCAAACTTAGTTCGCCTTGACCAGAAACCTTGCTGAACGGATCCCCAGCAGGAGCACGAAAGATGTGAGCGAAATTTCTTGTTGCCATTGTCTTTTTTTACACTTGTCCTGATAGTAGTCCTTTAGTTTAGAAGTCATTCGTTGTCATGTGCATGGCCGCTGTCATTGCTATATTGCTTTTCTTGCTAAAGTGAGGCTTTAACTGCAATACCGGCGGGACCCTTGTAGAGAAGGCTGCGAAGACAAGCTCTCTCCCATGATTGATTCTGTGGGGAGGGTGTGGGGCTTACCAGGGCTTGTATATCATGTTTAGGGCATGGGGCTTTCACGGTTTTTTACATAAAGTTCAAGACAAGGGACAGATGCTTCAGTGTGCCGGTGAGGGTCAGGCAGGTGTTATATCAGGATTAGCTTGGATGTCTCGAATAACATGGTTGATGGTTTCTTGATGACAATGTCCTTCCAAGGAGATCCTGTTGTGTTAGCGGTGCAAACTGCCAGGCCTTGTTTACCTTTTCGGCAAAGTTGCCACTTCGTTTTAGGCATGCGGGCCAGCCTCTGCTTGCTGGCTTCTAACGCACCCTGCTTGTGATGGGTGCTGGCACAGTCATCCATGTGAGCCCCCGTTTTCCTAGAATCTGAGGTGTATGGAGCATTCTTCGGGCAAAGCCGAACGAATCTCTCGCAAAACATTGCGCAGTAGCGAAAGGAATGCCGTGCTGAGCACGACATTCTAAGGCTAAGGCCTGTGAGCCAGCATCTTGTGACTTTATCAAGCCCGAATCTTAAATCGTAAGGGTTCCTCCTAAACAAGGCTCCGTACAGCCTTCGTTCATCAATATCAACCTCCCCTACCCTGAAAACTAAAGACTAGAAGCCAAAACGTCAAGAACTTTCTCAATCCATCCTACCGTTCACCACAACATTTACAGAATCTTGGCCTTTGAGCCCACGCAGGCCTGCCACTTCTTTGACCTCATGCGCCGCATTCTACAGAGTGCCTCCAGCAAGACCAAGTTGCCATTGTCTTCCATCGCATTGTAGGCCTAAGCTTACCCCTTTAGGGGCGAGGCTTCAGGTTTGGGAGTTCTGGGTTTCAAAACTTGGTTGTTTTTGCGTTTGAGCCCTCGATTGTTTGTAACCTGCACGGTGCCTTGGATTGACCGGCTTCAATTCCAAGATTCAGCTTCAAAACAACTAGTTTCAAGTAAGGCCAAGAACGTAATGAACCTACAAATGTTGCCCATGCCATGCCTATGATGTGTATGATGTGGTAGCCTTGTGTGGGACGTGCCCTGCAACATGGCCGTGTGGATCCCCAAATGTGTCAACATCATGAGAGGTACTACAACTCCAAAACAACAGCTGTTTCATTCCCCCCAACTGCATATCACCAATCTTGCAAGGAGCACCCCCTAAAGAAAAGAGAACATCTGGGGATCTGGACTTCATGTGGAAAGGGTTGAAAAACCCTATGTAGACTTTACAGCTCCAGCCCTGAGCCCTCAGAAGTGGGGTACAAGGGGCTCCTGTGAAGAGTTTTTTCTGAGGTGAGCCTATCTCTGTGTATGCATCTGGGGACCAAGCCATGAACCACAAGGACGAGGCGCAAAAAGTCTTAGGGTTAGTGTTTACTTAGTAGGGCTTAAGGGGAAATGGGGGGAATGATGAAAATTATTCTAGGGGACGATATCAGATGATATAGGGATTATTGTAGGGATCCATTCCTTTGATCTCCTGATCCACCAGTACGGCTTTTACAAAAAAGAGGAACGCGGGTCTGGAGTTGCGGTATTGTTCGGACCCCCCCGACCTTGTTGGGATCATTTAGGTAGGAGTTGTATCATTATCACATGAGGGTTGTTCTAAAGGTC